GCCCTTCAGCCCGCCGCTGCGCTATGAGGGCGCCTTTCCCGGGCTGGCCGAGGCCGGAGCCGGCTCGCTCTGCTCGCGGGGCAGTGTGAAGGCAGGCGCAGACCGGAGCCGGGCTGCGCGGCGCTCGCGGGCCGGCGCGGGCTCCAGGTGAGCGCGGACTGGGAGAGCCCGGCACTCGGCACGGCCAGCCGGGCTCGATCGGAGGCTGAATCCCGTGCGTGGACCGCCCTTCCCTCTTCGCGGGATCCTTGGCCACGATAGCAGGTCTCCCTCTCTGTCTCTCTCGCTCCCCCCCGCTTCCCCGTGATTGTTTGGGACGAGCCCCTCTGGGCTGCCGGAGCGCCCGGTTTTGGCGCCTCAAAGTCCCGCAGCGAGTGCGGGGCGCGAAGCCGAGCGCCCGGGCGGGTCCCGGGGCAAGGGCAGGGGCACGGGTGCACCCGGAGGGGCGGCCTCTCGGGAGCTCCGAACACGCTCGCCCGCGGCCGCAGGTGCGGCGGGAGGATCGCCAGGCGCGGAACTTTCTGCCGCCGCCCACCCTTGGCTTCGCTGTTCTCGCTGCCCAGCTGAGCCAGGGGGTGCCGGCTCCCTCTGCGTTCTGGTGACGCCGGGCGGCAGGGGTGCCTCGGCCTTCCCGCCCGGCAACTTTCTCCCACTAGCTGCAAGCACATTCGGGCTGCGTGCGGGCGTTTCCACTCGGCCCGGCCCTACCGGCACCAGGCGCTCCCTCGGTCTGGGTGTCTTCCTCGACGGTTGTCTTGTCTCTCTGCCTCCTTTTGCCTCTCTGTGTTTCAGAGTCCCCTCGCCTCTCATTCACTCCGTGTGTCTCTGTTTAAGACTCTCTGGCATTTGGTTTCTTCACTCCCCACCTCAAGGTTGTGCATCTGTTTCTCTTTCCCCTGTTTTTCTTGGGATGTCCCTGTTATTCTATCTCTTCTGCTTGTCTCTCCGACTTGGAACATTTTTTTTCTCTATCTTTGCTTCTGCTTCTCGCTGCCTGTCTCTGTCTCCCTCCGTTATCCCCCTGCCCTGTCTTCCCAAGCCCCAGATCCCTGATCCCGAGGCGCCTTGGTCGGGGAGCACGCGCCGGCCCACCTTCTGGGCACCTCCAGGGAAAGAGACCCCCCCCCGCGCCTGGGGCCGGTGGGGACACGGAGATGGAGACAGCCTGTCCTTGTCTGAGCTGTCGTAGAACTGAACGAGAGGCGCAAGGGACAGAGCAGTGGGCGCCGCGCTAACCTCCCTTCCTCAGGTCCGAGGGCGCTGCGCTGCCGCGAACCTGAGCGCACCGAGGCTGCTGGTCTGGACAGCGAAATCTGCGGTTGCCCCTTCGCGCACCCGGTTCTTTGACTATGTCTAGTTGAATTTTCAGGTGGAGAGTCTACATCTCCATCTTTTATAGCCTGCTGCAAAGGAAGAGAGAGTGGGCAGGCGTACGGCTACTTTGGGGTTCAGGGGAAACTAACCTAGAAAGGGTGGGAGCTTTCGTCTGTCGAAGGCTTTGCTAGCCGAGGAGTGCTTTGGGGACGGTAGAGGCATGCCTGCTTTAAACTGGCATACACTTAGGAAAGCGGCTTCCTTGGGTGAGATCTTGGTTACTCTTCCCAAAAACAGCACAGAGGCTTCATTTGCAGGGCTAAGGACATTTGGCCGCCAGGGCCCCTCCTTGACATCTCTGATTTCTTTGCAGATTTTCAGCTTTATGTGAAAGCTACCACTGCTCAGTTTTTCTCTCTGCCATTACTCAGTTTTTTCCTCTCTCTCTCCCCAAACCCTCCTCTTCCCTTATCTCCCCTTCTCCCCACTTTTCTCCTTCCCTTTTCACTTTCCTTCCTTCCTCCCTCTCCTCCATCTCCCTACCTCTTTATCCCTCCTTCCCCCCACCTCTCTCTCTCTCTCTCTCTCTCTCTCTCTCTCTCTCTCTCTGTGTGTGTGTGTGTGTGTGTGTGTGTGTTTGCGTTCATGCCCCCTAGTGTTAAGAAACATGCTGGTTTGAGAATATTTAAAAGTAAGGTCAACATATTGGTTATTTACATTGAACCTCTCACCTTCTGGGATCTCCTTGTGTTATCCATATTCTTTCCTTTTCCTCTGTGACTTTTGCATTGCATTACTGATCTTTCTTTTCCTTCTCCCCTGCAGAATTAGAACCTTAATATTGAAACCCTCTTCGTTTGGTTTTGGAATTGGATAGATTTGGAGAATTTTCATAGCCAAAGGCAGACTTTGAACATAAAAAGTGTGCGTATCTCTGTACTGTTTGCCACAAACCAGGATTTTTCATCTCTTCCTAACGTCCCTACCCACCTTTAATTCTGTTGAAAATTTTCCTGGCTGCTCCTGCTTGTTTAAATAAATGCTTTTAATTCACCATTTCTGTGATGCTCATCCCATTCCAGGGCTTAAGCCACTTGCTTAAGCTGGGACACTGTGTCTCAGATCCGCTTTGGAAAGGAAGAAAAGAAAGCTTTTCCAAAGGAATTAAAGAGTGCTTCTGGTGTAGATTAATTCTGGAATGGAAAGTCTAGGGTGGAACTGGCCTTTGTCTTAGATATGTAGACCCTAGGGCAGTGTGGGAAAGCAAGTAAGTGCTTAATAAAAACTTTTTGGCTGATTGATTAGCATGCACCTGATTATAGGCTTCCAAGTCACCCAGCTTTATTCATGAGCCTATCTACTACAAGTTTTATCTTATGAATGGGAATTGAGGACTAGTAGACGAAATAATGGAGCAGGAGTATTTTGCTTCTTTCTAGATCATATTACTGCTTGAATTTTTCCCTGTCTGCAAGTCTTTAACTTGGCTGGTGGTATCTAACAGTCATTGTGGAACTGAAGAAATGAGTTTAGAGGCTCTGAAATGTTTCATCTCTCAACCTTCCTACCTGAAAGTAAACTAGGACATGGCATTATACTGGGGTGAATACGTTAGTGTGGGTTTTAACAAGTGAAAAGTTATCTTTTAATATAAAGAATAGACCTGTAAGCTTAAAATATTTGGGAACTATATGTTCATCTGTAATCTGAATCACTTACCCTAAATAATTTATAGATTCCCTTACTGTTTCAATATATATGAGAGGTGTGATACTGCATGAATATGAGAATTTGCTAAAGTACCCGGAAACAATGTCTTCTGATCCAAAGTACTAGTAGAAATCCATTGACTGCAATACTGTCTTTTTGACGTTATGCTAGCTATCTCTGAAAACAATTGGTGATTTACCATGAGTATTGTGCAGAAGGATGTTCAAGGCAATTTTGCTTTAAAAGTATCATTTATAAATCACTCGATACACTCCTCTGCCCAATTGTTGTGTTTAAAAATAGCAAACCCACAGTGAAGGCAGAAATTATGATATGTTTGAGGTGACTTCTAATTTCTTACAGATTTAACTTGTGCATATAATTTTTTAGCTTAATGTGCATTCATTTCAGGCTAAGCAGTTATGTCAGAGTGAAATATGTTTTCATCATGCCAACTTGATTTTTAGAACTGGTAGTTTTATAGCAGGAACATTTTAACGTAATAGAGGTTTTGCAGCTTATGAAACTTTGGCATTTTAGGAAGGGGTGAGAGAAAAGGAACATTTTATTCTTTATGATCGGGCAAATGAAAAGAATACTAGTGTTCCTGAATAATAAGAACAGTAAATAAAGTGCTTGAGAATAAAGAAAATACTTGATAGAATTAAGTCTCACTATGTAAAATAAATGACGGTGCTACACGTCTCTGATAGGTGTTTGTTGTTCTTTATGAAAATGGACAGTTCCTATTGTTGTGACCTTTAACTAACTTGCTGTTTTAGGCAACATATTCTCAAGTGACATCTCTTGTAACAAACAACACATTCTTGACTGTGACTTTTAATACATCACCTTCTTGGGGTTGTGTCTCTACCAGTAGAAACATGTAAAATCTTAAATCTGATGGGATCTAACAGGATCACTGCTTTGAAGTCTGAGTGACCATATGCCTAATTATCAAAGGATTTAAACTGGGCTTTGGTTCTAAATCCCACCTTCTGCTCTTGTCATCAGAATAAACACATGTGAAACATCAAATCAAGACCTCCATATATATGGAGATTCAATATGAGGAGATATATATATATATATACACATATATATATGGAGGTCTTGATTTTACGTATATATATATCCTCATATTGAATCTGATTACCTACATGATGATAACTCCCCTAACCCCCACCAAACAGACACACACACACACACACACACACACACACACACACACACACACACACACACCCACACCAAGCACATGTTTGAAAACATAAATCACATTTAAAGATCTGGCACTGTCTGCTTTGATAAACCATTTATCATTTTATCAATTTAGACTTATATGTATACTTTCCATGTTAAAGGCACATTAAGACTTTCTGCCTTTCATTTATAGGCATACCTGTTTTTGAAGAGTCTAGCTTTTCTTTTCTTTTCTTTTTTTTTTTGAGTTGGAGTCTTACTCTGTCGCTCAGACTGGAGTGCAGTGGCCGCACCTGGCCACCGCAACCTAGACCTTCTGGTCTCCGGCGATACTTCCGCCTCAACCTTCCAAGTAGCTGGAACTACAGGTGCGCGCTACCACGCCCGGCTAATTTTTGATTTATTGTAGAGATGAGGTCTCACCAAATTGCCCAGGCGGGTCTCGAACCTGTGGGCTTAGGCAGTCCACTCATCTCAGCTTCCCAAAGCGTGGGATTACAGGCTGAGCCACCGAGTCCGGCTGAGTCTAGCTTTTCATTGTGAAATTTAGTACTTAGAGAATTCAGGGAAATTTATGAAAATAAATATACATTTAATTCAGTTGGGGCATTATAAGCAATTATCTTTGGGTGCAGAAGTTAAACCAAACAGGCATTATTTGTTTAATATTTGTTTCTTTTGATTCAAATTAAGACCTATGTCTATGTTTTAAATGTAGTATACTTATAATACTATATTTAATTGGCTTTACTTTGCACAAGTGTCTAAAGACATCTCTGTGATTCCGAGTACTCTATGCTCTCGTGTCCCTAAATTTACTTTTAGTTATGATTTTTTAAAGTTTGTTTTGTCTTCGGTATTTCTTTGGACATATTAATTTAAGGTGAAATTCTTAATTTTATTTATTTATTTACTTATTTTGAGTTGGAGTCTCACTCTGTTGCCCAGACTGGAGTGCAGTGGCTGCTCTGGGCCAGCACCGGGCCACTGCAGCCTCTACCTGCTGGGCTCCGGCGATCCTTCCGCCTCAGCCTTCC